TAAGTTTGGTCAAGTTTTTTTATTTTATTTCTATACTATTGTAGAACAAAAAAGCGCATTGAATTTGGTTTAGTAGTTGTCGAGAAATCATCGTGAAAAGTTTAAAAAAACCAAATCGGGTAAAATTTCTTTCTTTGAATTTTAAACAACGATTTCTCGACAACAAACTGTCCAAATTTGATTAAAGTTTTTTAATTTCAATTCTGTGGGTTCGTAAATAAAAATAAAAAAATTTTAATCGAATTTGAATAACCAGTTGTCGAGAAATATTCATTAAAAGCTAAGAAAAAATTTGACCTCAGTTTTTTTTTAAAAGCATCAAAACTTTGAACGAAGATTACTCCGCACTTGCCTAGTCAAATTCAATCAAATTTTAATTCTGAGTATATTTAATTAAAGCAAAAAATTTTGATCGAATTTGATCAGGTAAGTGCCGAATAATTTTCGTTTAAATTTAGGCGTCTATAAAAAAACTCTGCGGCCAAATTTTTTTGGGATTTTAAATGATGATTTCTCAACAACCAACTATCAAAATTTTTTATTTTAATTCTATGAATCCGCAGAATTAAAATAAAAAAAATTCATCAAATTCGGATAGTTGGCTTAAAGAGTGCACCATGCACCCTGGTCACAGGGATAAATGGCGATCATCAATTGATAATCGATAATACTTTTTTTTAGGCTTTTTCTTTTCAGGTAACGGTTAATGGATTAATTTCGCCGTAGTTGGAGCTGGTGCCGTGTCGCCGTTATAGGTGAGTATTGTCATTACGCATTTGAGTTGCCTTTGGGTGGTGCCGCTGCTGCTGTGGTAGGTGTCGTGTTATTTGTGTTGTCTTGAGGTGGATTTCGTCGTTCTTGTGTTGCCGGTGTTTTTTTCTTAGTTGTTGCACGTCTAGCCTCCACTGCTCTTTCCATAATCGTTGGCTTCAGTTTTGTGCCGCAATTATGGTGGATGACGCGTTATTTCTGTTGCTCTTTGGGTGGATTTGCTTGATTTACTCTAGTATCGTTGGCGTTTTTTATTTGTTGCATATTTAACCTTCCCAGTTTCTTTCCGTAGTCGTCATTAGTGTCGGCTTCGTGCGTCGTTATAAGTGGGTATTGCTATTATTCGTATTATTCGTATTATCTTTGTGGTAGCCATTTCGTCGTTATTGGAGGTGTCGTTGCTTTTGATATGCTTGGCATTTTTTTTTTTTGGTGGCGTCGTTTAAAAACGTTCGTTGGTTAGGGTTAGGGTGAGTTAGGTGGTGGGGTTAGAGTTAGAGTTAGTAGGGTTAGGGTGGGTTAGGTGGTAGTATTAGAGTTAGTTTGTAAGGTTAGTGATTATTTCGAATATGTTGTTACGCGACGATTCAATATGTTACGCGTAACAGTTTCGAATCTGTAATATATATTTTTTCTTTATTTGATTAATAAAATTTATATAAAATTATATATTAAACTGTACTATTAATGTATATTTAAAAGGCTATTACAATATTGTTATTTTCATCGCGTGACTGGGTGCAGGTGCAAATTTTTAAAACCCATAATCTTTTTCTTACCATTTTTTTTTTTAAAAAAAAAACTTTAACCGACGATTTCTCAACAGCCAACTATTCAAATTTGACAAAGATTCATTATTTTAATTCAGTGGGTTAATAGAATTAAAGAAAAAAAAAATGATCATATTCTGGTAGTTGGTTGTCGAGAAATCTTGATTTAATGCTCGCAATTTTTTTTATAGGCACCTAAACTTTGAACGAAGATTACTCAGCACTTACCTGAACAAATTCGATCAAATTTTAATTTAATTTTATATGTTCATAGAATTAAAATAAAAAAAATTTGTTGAATTTGACTAGGTAAGTGTCGAGTAATCTTCGTTCAAAGTTTTGTTGTCTAAAAAAGAAGCTGAGGCCAAATTTTTTTTAGCTTTTAATGAATATTTAATTCTATGAACCCACAGAATTAAAATTAAAAAATTTTCATCAAATTTGGACAGTTGGTTGTCAAAGAAACTTTACCCTTTTTTGACGATATTTGGAGTTTTTTTAAAACTTTTCACGATGATTTCTCGACAACTACTAAACCAAATTCAATGCATTTTTTTTTAATTTGATTCAACAATTTTATAGAATAAATAAAATTTTATTTACCAAATTTTAACCAAGTAGCTATTGAGAAATCATCGCTAGAAATTTAAAAAACATTCGAATTTATTAATACTGTAATAGGATCTGCGCCTTATTATCACATAGTTCTCGAAGCTTATCAATTTGAAATTTGACAAATACAAACGAAGCCAAGAAGCCTTGGTTTGGATTAAATGCGTTTCAAGATGCTTAGCCAATTCATTGAGCAAAACCAAATATATTAGCGTGAGATCAAAAATTTATAAAGTTATTGAATGCTACTACTACTACTATAAGTTTAGTAACACCAATCCCAACGTGTCTGAAGTTGACATCTGCCTGAAGTTGTAACTTCAGGAGTTTGAAATCGCCTTAACTGAAATTAGATCATGCAAGCGTTAGCAGGTAATTTTAGGCAAGTGTAACTTCAGATGCCTGAAGTTACAACTTCAGGCACGACAGAACACAAAAATTCACAATTTTTATCGGGTTTAGCTACGTAGATATCGAGATATTGTTGTAATAACCACCTAACTAAACTCAAAAAAATTTTACTTGAATTCTACGCAAATATAGAATTAAAATCAAATAAAAATTTTTACTGAGTTTGATTAGGTGGTTATTGAGATATTATCGCTCAAAATTCAGCTAGTTTTGCAAATCTTATAAATTGTCGCTGATCTGGAAGCTCAGATTATACAAAATCTCAATTTTCATAACGATAGTGAATATTTTAATATAACTTTTATTCAACTTACTAAAATACAGATTATTAAAAATGATACATAATTATATAAACAGATGATTTTTTAATAACACACTTCTTCCACTCTAAGTTACAAACTACCAAATAATTATTTAAATATTAATTAGATCATTCTTTTTAAAAAAATGCGCGCGCACGTATGCAAAAAAGTCCGTGTAATAATTATAATGTTAAATAATAACTTTCTATAACACCCTTAAATTATTATTGATTTCTAGATGAATCTCCTTGTGACATTTCTCGCAGAGTATCTTGAATATTTAAAAATAATTTCGTTATTATCCGATGTGAACATGAAAGTATTAACTTCTCCAAGCATAAATCTATCGAAAAAAAAATCTTACCATGCCAGTAATTACTTTGAAGACTCGTTAGAATTTGATCAGCAGTTTGTTCATCCATCTCAGTATTAGCATCAATATCACTCCACACATTATTATTATTAGTTAATAAAAAAAATTCATCTCCAGATGACAACGAAAATTCCCCTGATGAATGATCAAATGAACGTGTTCTAAGACCAAGAGATTCCGTTGACTGTCTAAATTCAGGTGCATCTATATTTAAAGTTTCACGAGCTGAAAGCCGTTCTGAAGGCGAAGTAATTGACATATGTTGTTGACTAATATTCGTTGTTTCGACGCTTAGCGACTGCATTTGCGCGTTGGGATCATCATTAACCGTGATACGAGGTACTGAAATTCCAATAATGTATTAGATATAATAATAATAATAATACGTAAAAATATGTATACCTGTATCATCATCATTTATCCTTTCAGATTTTAAGTTCTTAAAAGCTCTAAACTTTTTACGCCATAAAATTGTACGTAATAATGATTTTACTCGTTCACGATTAACGCTATCAATTACTTTTCTCAATTTAGTTTGTCGCTTAACATATTCGTGAATTCTATATATTTATATTTAAAGAAAGATAATTAGAATATTTTATATGTAAAGAAAAAAAGATTTTTTTAAAAACTATGAAACTTACTCTAAACATTTTTCATCATCTATCAGCTTATAATGAGCTAACAATAAAAGCATATTAGTAAATGAGATTCCCTTTTCGTTCCCCAATGCATCTTTTTCAATAGTCATCAATGCTTCCTAAATTTCATATTAGACATATTAGTCATATTAGTCATATTAATACCGACAATAATTCAATAAGAAATATATTAATATTAGTTAAATAACCTGATAAATGAGATTATAAGTTTTTCTCCTTTGAAAAGTTGTGCGAATATCTAAACGGTCAAGATTATTTTCCAATTTCTTAATATCAATATTTTCAATTCTAAATTTGTCATCTTTTGGTTTTAGAAAATCTTCATCTACGGATAATCTACGAGTAATCCTTGAATTTTTCATCAAATTTGGGATAAGAAATTCGTCATCAAATATTTTAATTCTAAAATTTCCTTCAAGTTTCTAAAAATTAAAATATAACATAAATTTAATATGAAAAAAGGATAATAATAAACGTAACAATTGAAATAGTATAATTGATAAAATACTCACACCAAAGAACTTGCTAAAGTCTTTACTTTTGATATAGCCTGTTCTGCCAACATCAACAGCTCCCCAAGCTTTCTTAAATGTATACAATAAATTAGTCAAGGAAATATAATAAAAAATATATGATCGAAGTAAAATAAAAATAAAAAAAATAAAGGATATTTTCTAATTTCGTCTCGGTTTACTGAAGAATAATTTCCAGAAATTTCACAAAAATATGAAAAACTATCGCCGACCACCCCAACAAACATACTGAATATTATATACATTGATAAAACATTCCATGAAATAAAAAGGAAATATGCCCATGCAGGACTTCCGCAATCCGATAATAAATAATTTGGATGTTGAACACAGAACGGTTCTGTTACTGTGTAATCATGCATAATAGTATTCCAATTTTCACTATAATATAAATAAATATTTAGTTTATTTGATGAATTATATACTTACTGGTTATATAAAAAAAATGAAATGTAGAAATTACCCCGTAGACATTCTTATGAGTGTCAACATCGCAGTATCAAAAGTACGAAAATTTACATGCATATTTCCATTTTGACCAAATTTTGTAAGGCCAAAAATTTCCATATACATGATTGCGTATATTACAAAAATAATAAACCAGACAGCAAATAAATTAAAGATTGGTGGTACGCTCGCACTATATAAATTAATTGCTATGTTAGAAAATGACACTCGTAAATTACATTTAAAAAAAACAGAACTTACATCATGTTTTTAAATAATTGATTCATAGGATCACTTTTTTGAAATAATTTAACCGTTACTAAGACTAAAAAGAGTTTTTGCAATTGAACAGTCGCGTCAGATGTAGTACTAGGAGCTAAAGCTGGTATTGTTGTAACTGTAGTTCCAGTAATAACGATTAAATCATAAAGATTCCAAGGGTTACTACGAAACACCTTCCATCCAAGACCGGCTAATTTCATTGAAACTTCAACAATATACACTGAAATTAAGATAAGAAAAGCTACGTCTATATAATAAACATTTGATATTTTAGTATAATATTTAGCGTCAAAAAAAAAAAAGATTATAAAAAATAAAAAAGATTATAAAAAAAATTCTATTACTTCTCGTTATTTCCCATCCTTTTGGAGCTCCGAAAAATTCTGTCATGAGCAAAATAATATGTATAGCATAAAGTCCAGTCATAATATTATATAAAGCTCCTCTCTTTTCAATAGCATAATCATAACAAAAAGCTCTAAATCGATTAAGTGGTCTAACTTTTGGCAATTTTGATGGTTTAATTTGCCTCAATAATTTTTCAAGATTTAACCAACGAACTTGTTCTTGTGTTAAATACGCTAATCCGGATTTTTTTTGGAAACTCAATATAACAACACTAATAAATAATGTTAATACAAATACTGTTCCAACTAAATTAAAGACAAGCCAGTATACTCCATTCCACTTTGACGCATTAGGTTGAGGTTGATTATTATATCCAGTGATTGACATTACATTAAACATAACGTTTATCCACCCTTCATTAGACAAGGATTCAAAGATTATTAATAAAGCTGCTTTAAAATCATCAAAGCTATAATGATATGGGTTTTCCCAAATTCTTGGAGTGAGAACATTCCAATTGAGAATCGTTTGACTATATTCGCCCGTACAATCTGTATTAACATTTATCGAATTAGAATTGTCATTACAATTGTAAAGAAGACCTGCGAAAATGTTTACTCCATAAAGGGCAAATGGTATGATTAAACTAATGGATAATATTGAAGCATCAAAAATTCGTGGTGCACCAGCGATAAGAATGTAATAAAAAGTATTCTTTATGCGGCTTGATAAATTAATTAATCGCAAAGCTCGGAGTGCTTTAAATGATCTAATTATCCTTGCACTACCGAACTCATCTGTTGGAATTAGTATAATATTAACATAAAGAGTCTTTGTAAAATTTACAAGATAAAAAAAAAAAAAAAAACTTTAATATACTGTGCTTACAAAAAAAAAAAGTAAACGAATTATTCCTTATTAAAATTCAAGAATTAAACTTACAGAAAGCACAAACAGATCTAGTACGTTCCAAACATTTAACATATAGGCATTGGGTGTAAATAAAAATCCATCAGCAATAACCTTGATAATGAACTCAAGTGTAAATATACAAGTGAATGCGAGATCAGTGAACCAAAACCAAGTATATCTCGTAACACCGTGTTGTTCATAATATTGCTTTTGATATACTGGAGTTGTTATACAGGCTAGAACCACATTTGCTATAATACAAGAATATATGAAAGCACTAAATAAAAAACTCCATGTTGGAGATGGTGGGATTCCTTGGATGCGTTTTCCATAACTTGAGGGCACAAGTAACTGACAAAAGCGTCGAAATCGATTACGAGGAGATATAAACCAAAGAGATGCTGCATAACTTGGATGTGCGGCTATGAAATCAGCTTTTAAGGCTTGGCGTTCTTGGTAAGTATCTATAAATTCTTCAGCTTGCTTATCACTGACTGGATCAATTAACGGATCGCTAAAACAAAAGCAAATTAACAATATAATTATTTTAAAATAATTTATAATATACTTTCATAATGAATTAAATAATTACAATGCAGTTTCTTTATAATCCGTATATTGCACGCTATGTCGGGTAATATCCGATTCATGTATTGGACCGTTATCAGTGTCTATATATCCAAAAAATCGCTTTATGGACAATATAAAGTTATCCGCAGGTTCCATTACTCCGTGATGCTTTCTTGTCTGAAACAAATATTAATAATAAATGTAAATGTTACTATATATAGCATTAACATTAACGATGCACCACATAAAATCAAACCGCAATATACTTTTTTACTCTTCTTGTTATCATCTTCAAGAAGTTCTTTGACGCGACTTTTTTGTGTATGTAAAACTAGAGAAGAAGGAATATTTTCAACAGCTAGTGCTCTTGGCTTTTCTTTAAAAAATCTATAAATGTTCCATCTTTCAATCACAACATCTTTCTTTATAGTAGGATCTGCGTTTCTACGAAAAGATTCTACTTGAATTTTGTGCTTTTCTTCTTCTGCAATTGCAAAATTCTCTTGTACAACAGCAATAAACATATTTAGGAGAACGACTATACATGTGAAAAATAAGTTAATATTTTATACCACAAAAGTCTGAAATTAAAATTAATGATTTAATTAATGATCTCTTAAAACCCTTACAATTTGATAGACCTGTGTAAAAGCAAATAAATAATGCTGCTATGATAGAAGAAGCAACGGATCCGCTAACAGATTCATATTGAAAAACATTATAAAGAATAGTTGTCCAATCACTCGAAGAAAAAAGCTTTAAATAAAAAAAAAATTATATTAACAACATGAAAGTGTTGAACAAGTTTAATAAATATATTACATATTATATAATTACCTGAAATATAGCAAGATAGCCATTATAGATATCACTAAAAGTCATAATTACTGGATTTTGATTACTATCAGTGCTAGGGATTGACCCACGTAACAATTGTATCACCTATATAAGAATAAAGTCAACATAGATTACATTTATTATATTATTAATCATATTAATTGTCGCTGAAATTAGCTGATACTGAAATTTGGACCTATTTTGTTATGAATTTTAAAACTTCTACAACATTTCTGAGAGATCAGCAGAATATTGGACGTCGATACGTTTGATAGCTAACCGATTTTTTGGCGCGTATTTTCACCTATCGGAAAGATATCTTTTGGATATCTGATATGCCTATAGGAACTCCTTCTGATAGGTGAAATACGCGTCTGATATTCTTCTGATCCCCTTCAGAAATGTTAATAGAAAATTTAAAATTCGGCCTGTGGTTGGGTTAAGGTTTAGGGAATTGATAATTAAAGAGTATACGTGGATTTTAGGAGGACTTATATTTTCGAATCGAGACCTCAAATTTCAGCAGCATCAGTCGCGACAATAATTTAAATTTCATTACTCACAGATATGGTCGCAAAAAAAATTAATCATTAAGATAAACAGAACTAAATTAGTCAGACCCGCAACACTGCCTAAGACTGATGTCTAAATATAAGAAACGGTTAATTAGTAAATAAATGAAATATCCTTAAATCATGATAAATAAAAATTTGTGGAAAATGAATATTACCAACACATTCTTTAGACGAGGGATCGCGACAACAACACGATATACTCGAGCTATTTGAAATATTGTTAAATAAGGATACGCGTTGGAAGACTTGATAGGTGGAATTTGCATAAAACATGTAACTAAGACAAGAAATAGGTCAAAAGTATTCGCTCGTGAACCAAAAAAAAACCGATATTTTGGAGCGTAAGAAAAAAATCTCAAAATAATCTCTGCCGCAAGAATTAATGTGAAAACTAGTTCGGCTCGATCTAATTTTAATAAAGATGATCTCATAAGTATATCATAAATATATCATAAGTATAAAAATAAAATTTTCACACTATTTCTTTTCTATTTCTTCTGATATTCTGATATTATACCTATAAACATTGCTGTGCCAGGAGAAATATCAAAAGTTCTACATCCCATGATAAATAAGTCTATGAATATAAAAAAGACAAACAAGTATTTTATTTTTTTCATAATTATTCCTAGTTGATTTAGTTCAACTTTTTTATGATCCTTTAACGTCCATTTTCCTTCATCATCCAACAATACTGGTGCAGCTCTACAAAATTTAAGAAAAATTTAAATTATAGATTGAAATGAAAACAATAATAACAGATAATAATAATAATTACTTGGAAGTAGTAAACGCTGAATGAGAAGTTTCTTCACGAATTTTTTCAAATACAGAAACG